ACTTGTCTGTTCTAGTATCATAAGAAAGTTGCTCGGGCAGAGAAGCTCAACCTGTAGGCGTGTCAGGCAGTCTCTTCTATAGCAGACGGCTACCGTGCAGGTCGTAGTTAATCTTGTATTGGCTTTGGTAGAATATCGCATAGGAGTGAGAATCGATCGGCAGTGAGTGCCCGCCTTCCTTGCTCTATCTCTATCGAACGATAAGGGACCATTGATTCCCGAGTCAGACACAAGCGATTTCGAACATCACTGAGAAGATTTCAGGAAGTCCTAAATCCCCTTATCGAAGAGAAAGAAATTTCGTATCAATAGAATTTGAAATGCCTCCCATCTCTTTCGCGACGTAACCCGTCGTCTCAAGTCCTAGGACTGGATCACTGGAGGAGGTTACCCACACCGTCCTCTCAGGGAACCATATCCTGGCGATCGGGGCAATCACGGGGAGGTACAAGTTCTTAACAGCTAGCACATCCACTGGAAAGACGTTCAGGCAGTTAAGCGCTTGGTCATGAACAAAGTAGTCAGTTTCGCTACAACCAAATCTTGTACGGACTTCTTGAAGCTATAGCTGAGTGAAGGTGAACTGAGCGATACGCTTCCGCCCGCCCAGCTGCCTAATAGTGCGATCTTTAGACAAAGCAAAAGCATCTTGCAAAATTGCAAAAACTTTGCACTCAGGTACGCAGGAGAGTGATGAGCTCTCCGTGAGTTGAATTGATTCCACTCACCCCCCAGCTCCCCTATCTTAGAAAGAGGATAGAATCTTCTTTTGTTCTGACATCAGGCGCGAAGCGAAAGATACAGATTCGTATAGAGTCAGGTTCACCTTGACGATCCTGGTTAGCAGGCCAGTAGCGGTTTTCAAAGGTAGGGGGAAGCGAAGCTTCACGTCTGTAGGCAGCGCGGAAGCTACTGCTTCACGAATGAAGGAGGCAGGCCTACAGAGACTACAATCAAAGTCATGAGCGGTAGCGAAGGCTCTCCCATTCCCACCAATCAAAGTCATGAGCGGTAGCGAAGGCTCTCCCATTCCCACCAATCAAAGTCATGAGCGGTAGCGAAGGCTCTCCCATTCCCACCGGGAGCCCCTCCCCTGGTCGCAAACAGGGCCGACCGGGAGGCGTGAGCGAGATGTCGATTTGATCTGTCGTCCTCCTCATTATAGTCCTCCTAGAATCCAACGCATTTCGTCGGAATACATCCTGTCTTTTCACCCTTGTAGTCCTATGCATAGTCAGTACTATAGCCCCAATCATGGCTACTAATAAAATCAGACTAGGAACCAAAAACCAGACAGAATAGTAGGTATACAGTAAATTGCCCAATGTTTCCAAATTCGTCCAACTTCGTACCTTTCCGGCATGAACCGTATATCTCAGAGAGGTCGTCTTTCTGTGGGTTGGTAGTAATGGAATGGTTTCATTATCACAAATGAAGAACATTTCCCACCAAAAGATCAGTCCAATAATACCACTCACTGGTAAATAGCGCAAGACTTCTTCGTGAATCTCCGCTATTTGAATATTGAACATCATAACCACGAATAGGAATGAAACGGCAATAGCTCCTATATGAACTACTGGGGAGATCATAGCGGAGAAGTCGAGACCTAAGAAAAGAAGTAAACCAGCAGTGTCGCGAAAGACTGGGATGGGAAACGAAACGGAATGTACCGGATTTTTAGCACGTACAACCATCAAACCAGAGACCAAAGCAGGGCTCGACGAAACAGAAAGTATCATGATACGTCGTCCTTCCCTGAAATTGAACTTGAATGCGTCTTCTTGCTCCAGCATTCAAGTCGATCTATTACGACCAGCGCGGTTGTTCGTCTTTCATTTTCTTCTTCCAAGCCCTGAAACTCAAAAAAGAAAGCACTCACTGAATTACTGACGGAATCTCGTCTTTCTCTCTTAGCCGATCATTTTTGATGTGTCCGGGTCGTCGATCAGAGGTTCGGCTTGCTTCTCCCCCACCCAGCGAACTCCAGCATCAAAGCTGTAGTTTCGGGAGCGCCCGAGGACGAACAATGTACTCCTTAAGCGCAAGGTTGCGTAGCAAAGAAAGAAAAAGAACAAGCAACGGCGAAAGCCGTAGCGCATCCGTTTTGAAGCAAGAAGCAATTCCATGAGCGCGCTAGCGCGAAAGCCGTTGCGCGTTAGCACGCGCATCCGTTTTCTTGCTGAGCCCTGTAGTTTTTCACCTTCAAAATAAGGCGCCAACGCTTTAGTAGTGACCCGGGTCCCGGGTTGCTTTGGCGCTCCCCACCCCAACGTGAGAGTCTTGCCTGTGTTGTACTTGACTTGACTCTCCCCCGCTTGCTGCTTGCTGATCGCTGTATGAAAAAATGACACGAAGCTGGATATGAGTAGATGTTGTTGGTCGAAAACAAAACGGCTCTCATGAACAATGGAACAGAATGGTCTCGCTCGATGCTTTTCTTTTTTGTATTTTCATATTCAGAGGTCTGGCAAAGTTCTTGAAACTTCGAAACTCAAAA